GCCACCACTCACTGCTGCCTCTCTGAGATCAATCTCAGCATTCTTTGTTCTGGAGTCATGCCCTCTTCCTGGGACCCATCTCACAAGCATAATGTCAGTCAGACCAGAGTTAAGTCCCAGCTCTGTTACTCACCAGACAAAGGATTTAATCACAATTTTCTCATCTGTAAAATGGGACTAATAATGCCTATCTTGCAGGGTTGTCTAAAGATTAATTGCAATCATGCATTCAGCATGATGCCTGTCATACAGTGAGTAGTCAATAAATGTTTGTTTACCTCTCTGTCACCTCTCCCTATGGAGTAAATCCCATAATCCTTCTGAACTGGTTTCTTTACTTTCTTCTTTACTATTTTGACTTTATTGGGGGTGGGAGGAAGCAACAATGTACCAGACTAAAAGACATCTTCCTGTCTCCTTTGCGGCTAGGTGGCGCCACGTATCTATGATTTGGCCAATGATATGAAAGGAAGTATTGGGTGCTGGTATGGGGTGAACTGTGTCCCCCCAAAAGATGAGTTGAAGTTCTAACCCCTAGTATCACAGAATATGACTCTATTTGGAAATAAGGTCTTTATGCAGGTAATCTAGTTAAAATGAGGTCATTCAGGTGGGCCCTAATCCAATATGACTGAAGTCCTTATTAAAAGGGGTAATTTGGTCATAGAGACCAACATGTATACAGAGAAGATGATGTGAAGACACAGGGAGAAGAAGATGCCCATGTGACCGGAATGATACATCTACAAGCCAAGGAATGTCAAGGATTGCCAGTGGACACCAGAAGCTAGAAGGGGCAAGGAAGGATTCTCCCCTAGAATTATCAGAGAGAGCATGGCAGTGCCAACACCTTGATTTTGGAATTCTAGCCTCCAGCACTGTGAGACAATATATTGTTTTAAGCCACCCAGTGTTTGGTACTTTGTTATGGCAGCCCTGGGAAATTAACAAGTGTGGAATTTGGGGGTGGCTGCTTTCTCCTGCCTGGAACGTGCAGGGTTGGTGTTTAAAATATTTAGCAATCAGTATGAAGATGGGCACTGATCAATCAGAAAGGACACTGGCCGTGAACAATTTTTCTGGTCACACTTGTGTGTACTGGTCAAATATTAGCCCTAGGAATGTGGCTGGAGCTCTTGCAGCCATTTTGGATTATGAGGCTAGAAGCCAGTCAGTGAGGACGGCAGAGTTGAAAGAGAGGAGGCACCTTGGTTCCTGATGACCTTGTGGAGTTGCCATACCAGATTTGGACAGCCTCCCTCCAGTGTTATACTACATACACAGTAGAGTAAACCTGTTTGTTTATGGCTCTATTACTTTGGACTTTTCTGTTTTCCTCAGCCAAACCTAAATTTAACAGATATCCAATCTTACAAAGTCCTGTGAAGCCCAAATAAATGATGAACAGGAAAGTATTTTACAAACTCTCCAGTTCTATGCACACGTAAGGCATTTTTGTTATTGCAGTGTTTGTGACTACACTTATGATTAATTTAAGAATAGGTTGGGGCTTCCCTGGTGGCACAGTGGTTGAGAGTCTGCCTGCCCTTGCACGGTTCGTGCCCCAGTCCGGGAAGATCCCACATGCCGCGGAGTGGCTGGGCCCGTGAGCCATGGCCGCTGAGCCTGCGCGTCCAGAGCCTGTGCTCTGCAATGGGAGAGGCCACAACAGTGAGAGGCCCGTGTAACCCAAAAAAAAAAAAAAAAAAAAGAATAGATTGAAATTGACAGATATGATCGTGGTCAAAGATCAAAGGCTCTTTGTCCTGCTTCAGCAACATGTTTTTGAGGGCTCTGCATGGCATCCATCGATAACAGTGGCATGAGAGACCAGCAGGAGAGGGGCCACCAGACTTTGGGCTGGATGCCAACAGGATGACTTTTCTTGCCCTGGGGCCTGAATGTTCAGCTACTGGTTGGCAGTTAAGCATGAAGGTTAAGGGTCAGGCCAGATGGGTTTAAATCTGAGCTCCACCCTTACTTGCTGTGTGACCCTGGGTAAGGTACTGAACTTCTCTGAATCTCAGATTCCTCATCTGTAAAATGGGGATAATTATAGCCCTATGACATAGGGTTGTCATGGAGTTTCAGTGACATCACATACCCAGTAGGGAAAAAGATAAATCCACAGCTTATTTGTATCCAGTCCAGGAGACAGATTTTTCTGCTCTGACTACCAACCCTTGACAAATTACAAATGGACAGATTGGATTATGGTTTGTTTCTTTTTACCTTTATCAATTCATTCAGTTAGCATACCGAATGTGCCTATTATGTGCTTACTATGTACCAGGTAATGAAAAGAGTTAGTGAGGCAGACTTAGAGCATGGCAACCAAATAAAGTCAGCTCAAAGAATGACTTAAAAAAAAGTAGAGCCAGTTTGTTGGGGTACCTCTCCCATCCTCTTACTGTCTTCTTGAGGGATCCCTTTGAGATTTCTGCAATGGCCATCCTTATCTACCCCCTCCCATTCAGTAGATGCTTATTCTTAGGAGGACTTCAGTCATTAATTCACACTATGGTGCAAATGACTACAGATCTCTCAAAGAATGGATCTCAAATGACCCCTCCTGTGAAGGTGACTGCCTACTGAAAGTCTGTTCCTAGCATAGAAAGCAAGAGTGTTCAAGGCAGAAGAGCCCAGAGAAATCATTCAGTCTGAGCCCTCTCAGTTCACAGGTGGAAATCAGGCCAGGCAGATGTGACCCTGGTCTCAGCAGGATGATCCAACCAAGGACTTCCAGCAGTTATGTGGCCAGGCTGGGTGGGGAGCAGAAAATGGCTCTTGCAGACTCCATGGTCACTGCTCTATACCATCTGTGTGCTAAAGATGCTTTGATTAGGTTGTGCAGGGTGGCCTAGGGAGATACTGATTCAGAACAAGAAGTGCTTCTGGCTTTCAAGAAGCCTACAGCCTGACAGAGGACATGAGCACATATGTAAGGCCAAAAGCTCTTTGGCCCCACTGATTTGAAATGCTGCCTTCATTGTGATCAAATTCTCCAATATGCACAAGACTGTTCTAAACTCTGTTCTGTTCTAGCACTGTCTTTTCCTGCACCAGCACCATGATGTTTTAAAGACCATAGCTTTATAAAATACCTTGATGTATTGTAGAAGACGTCCTCTTCTTTTTCAAGAATGTCTTGGCTGTTCTTGTACAATTACTGTTTCAGATGAACTTTTTTGTTGTTGTTGTTTTTGTTTTTGTTTTTTGTTTTGTTTTTGCAGTACGCGGGCCTCTCACTGTTGTGGCCTCTCCCGTTGCGGAGCACAGGCTCCGGACGCGCAGGATCAGCCGCCATGGCTCACGGGCCCATCTGCTCCGCAGCATGTGGGATCTTCCCAGACCGGGGCACGAACCCGTGTCCCCTGCATCGGCAGGCGGACTCTCAACCACTGCGCCACCAGGGAAGCCCTAATATGAACTTTTGTATTAGCTTTTTTTTTTTTTTTTCTTGCGTTATGCGGGCCTCTCACCGTTGTGGCCTCTCCCATTTGCGGAGCACAGGCTCCGGACGCGCAGGCTCAGTGGCCATGGCTCACGGGCCCAGCCGCTCCGCGGCATGTGGGATCCTCCCGAAACGGGGCACGAACCCGCGTCTCCTGCATCGGCAGGCGGACTCTCAAGCACTGCGCCACCAGGGAAGCCCTGTATTAGCTTTTGAGTAGCATAGATATTGAATCTTTCTCAGCACTCTTTTTGTAAAAAAAATAAATTTATTTATTTATTTATTTTTGGCTGTGTTGGGTCTTCGTTGCTGCGTGAGGTCTTTCTCTAGTTGCGGTGAGCAGGGGATACTCTTCGTTGTGGTGCACGGGCTTCTCATTGGGTGGCTTCTCTTGTTGCAGAGCATGGGCTCTAGGCAGGTGGCCTTCAGTAGTCGTGGCATGCAGACTGAGTAGTTGTGGCATGCGGGCTTAGTTGCTCAGTGGTATGGGATCTTCCAGGACCAGGGCTCAAACCCGTGTCCCCTGCATTGGCAGGCGGATTCTTAACCACTGCGCCACCAGAGAAGTCCTAGCACTCTTGTTTATGCCAGGCCCTGGGTGTTCTGAGGAGCCAGGCACTCAGTTGCTGCCCTTGGGAGCTCACAGAATAGCTGGGAAGTGTAACCAAACAAGAAGTGTAAAGCAACAACAGGAATCTCACGCTATGGGTAACAAAAGCCAAAAGAGTGAGGAGTCCACACAGATGTAAGTGCTGTGAGTTCCATTGTTCCTCTGGCTAGGGATGTCATGGGAAGCTCAACAGGGGAGATGACATACTGGACTTTGATGAATGTGCAGGAGCAGGAGTTCAGTAGGTATAAAAGAGAAGAAACGCTTTGAGTTGAGGAAGTCAGAGAACGCTTCTTGGAGAGGGAGACATTTTATTTGAGAGGTAAGAGTTTGCCTGATCCAGAAGATGGGATGAAGGGAGGGATTGCCCTGAGCTGGGAAAGTCACAAGAAGGATCTTTGAAGACATTTCATCTGGGTTTTGAGTTGGAGGATGCTGGAAGAGGCAATTAAATAAAAATTATTTTATTAGAAAAGTAAAACAAGGAGATGACATTTGACCTGGGCTTCCAGGGATGAGTGGGCAATTCACCAGATCAGAGAGGAGAGGCACCGTCGAGCTGAGGTAGTCACAGAAAAGGCTTCCCAGAGCAAATAAAAAAACCTCCTGGCTTCCTGCCCACACTCCAAGATCTAATATCCAGGAGCTAAGCGTCCCACCGCGTAGACGCTCGGGGTTCTGAGCTAGCAGGCCTGCAGCTGAGATTTCCCAGCGTAGGGTAGCGGCGCAGTGACCTCGGTAGGACTGAGGATCACGTTTGCGGAGCCGGCTAGCAGGGTTGAATGCTTTATGTCGGAATCGACCAATGGGATGGTGGCACCCAGTTGCCAGGGCTACGGAGGGGGGGCCGAGCGGAGGAGGGGCCTGAGCGCCAGGGGCGGGGTCTGGGAGGGGCTTATATAAGTGAGCGCCGGGCGAAAGGCGGGGCGTGGCGTCGGTGGCTGCTGGGCGGGAGCGCCGCAGGTCGCGGGGCCCAAGCCGGGGGAAGCTAGCGAGCAGAGGCGCGGAGGAGCCGTTTCACTCGCTGGGGGGACCTATGAGTCGAAGCCGTGTAAATGCGTTTTAAGGCGAGTGCGGGGGAGAGGCTTGGGGAGCCTGGGGAGCGGGCGCTCTCGGCTCCAGTGCTGACCTGCTCCCTGGCCCCTCTTGTCTCCTCTCAGCAGGGGCCTCGGCTCCGCAGCTGCCACTCCTCCTCGGGGTGCTGCACAAGTTTCGAGGTCACCGGCGACCCCCCCTAGCAGCGCGCCTGACTCTGGCCCCCGCGAAGGAGCACGGGGCTTGGTAAGGGGGTTTGGGGGGGCGGGACCTCGGCCCTGCACTCAGGAGGGCTCACCCGGACAGAACCTCAGCCTTCAGTTCTTGCCCAGGAGCCCTCGGCCATCACCCACCACGTGGAGCCCCCACGCACGCTTACCGTCCTAGCACGTCAGGACCAGCCCGGCCCCTCTTTACAAACGGTTAAACTGTGAACCTCAGCTCCCAGGCTGAGACTCCTTGGTGGGACCACCTGCAGCCACTTTAGGTGGGCGTGGTCAGGATGGGGGGGGGTCACCTGGAAACTTACCCACTCGGCTTTCCTGCTCTTTCTCTCTCATTCTTTCCCTTTAAACCAAAACCCTAATTTCAGAACTGGAAGGGATCGCCAAAACAATGCATCCATTTTACAGATGGGGAAACTGAGGCTCGGAGAGGCAGTGACATCTAGGCAGATAATGCCTTGTCCCAGTCCAGGACTCCTGATCGTCCTCCTCCTTCACTCCTCCCAGTGAACCTAAGCTCCCCAGGCTTGTGCTGGGGGCAGGGTGTGATAGGAGTGGGCGCCCTGGCCTGGGGAGGTGAGGGGTGCAGATGACGCCAGCCCCCCAGCGGCCCCCTCACTCTCCTCCAGCAGTGTGTTGCATATTTTCTAAGGCGCCGGAGGCAGCGGCAGCTCCATCCAGCCCATCGGCTCCTCCTCGGCATGGCTGGCTGCCTGAGTGAAGCGGACTTCGTGATGGTGGAGGAGGGCTTCAGCACCCGAGACCTGCTGGAGCAGCTCACTCTGGGGGCCTCACAGGCCACCACGGTGAGGGCCTGGGAGTGGGGATGGGTCTTCTGTTCTCCCAGCAGGCTCAGCTGCCTCTTAGGGCCCACATCTGATTCTTTCACTTATTTGGTATTCATTCCTTTCTATTTGTGAGAGACGTCTGATTTTTTCTCCAAATTCCTGGTCCTTGCCCCCAAACCTGCCCCTCCTGTGTTCCCTGCCTTCATGAACAACACTACCATCATCTACGCCGCCCTCTAGGTCAGAAACCTGGGAGTCCTCACTGCCCCTCCCACACCTGGGCACCCCCAATCTCTGTGAATGCAGCCTCCTTAATTTACCCTTCAGTATGTTATTCTGGGACCTCACTGTGTAGTTTAGGCTTCATCTCTCTAAAACTCCCCTAACCTTTTCCCTGGCTCATCCCACCCCTTCCAACTCTATCACAGACCTGCTCAAAATCAGAATTCTTTGTCAGTTTCTCACTCCCTACAGGATCCAGGTCAGAACCCCTCTGCCTTCATGGCCCCATTTCTGGCTTTTCCCATGGTATGTATTATGCTCCATCAGAGCTGAACTACTCTGCTCAATTTCCCGAGGATTCCGTGTGCCCAATTATCACTCCTTTGCCCAGGCTGTTCCCTCTTCCCTTCTCCCAGCCTCTCTTGCCTCTTACCTATTTCTACTCATTACTTATTACTCATCCGTGTCACCTTTTCCTGATTGCCCCAGGCAGATTTTGTACTTTCCTTCTCCATGGCCCCCTCTGCATTTTGTAGAAATTCCTGCTTAGCATTTATTGAATGGGCTTGTAATTGCTTAAGGGGTTCTTTTGCAGACCCAAGCATACTTAGCGTACTTGCATAGGTATGCTTGGTCAGACACCAAGTGGGCATCAGTAAAAAAGTGTTGCATAAAAGGGAAACTGAGTCCCAGAAAAGGTTTAATTAATGTGGTCTCACCAATGGCCTCATATGTGTTCAGCCCTCGGTAAACAGTTGTCCCCAGGCACGGTTTGCAGTAGCAGTGGGACTACTTCAGGTCTTCATTGAATACCTAAATGTGAAAGGCAGTGGCTGTAGGCTGTGGGTCTTCAAGGAATTCATCCTTTTCCTGGAGAAGACAGTTGTCTATATACACAGAGTTCTGATACTTTGGAAGCATGTGCAAAATGCAGTGGGAGCATTAAAGGCGGAGTTGCCTTATTGGTTTTGGGGAAGGTGGCATTTCAGCTGAAACTTGAAGGTGGATTAGGAACTTGCCAGACATATGTGGGGGAAGGATATTCTGTATGGAGGATATGGTGGGAATAAAGGCTGGGAGGTGGAAAATGATCTAGGATAGAGCTGGAGTTTGAGCTGAAGTGAGGGAAGGGACTGGAGCTGGATCACAGAGCCTCGAATGTCCTGTAGGCTTGGGGATCCCCAGAGAATTTTAGAGCAGGGTACTTGGGAGGACCGTGGATGGCACGCACTAGGAGGAAGCTGGGTGGGGTCTCATATTCATCCTTCTTGTTGTGCAGGAAGAGGTCACTGCCTTCTTCGTGGCCGACCTGGGTGCTGTAGTGCGAAAGCACTTCTGCTTTCTGAAGTGCCTGCCGCGAGTCCGACCCTTTTATGCTGTCAAGTGCAACAACAGCCCGGGCGTGCTGAAGGTCCTGGCCGAGCTAGGACTGGGCTTCAGCTGTGCCAACAAGGTGAGCCCCTGCCCCCCACCTGCACACTGACCCTCACTACCTACTGAACACCCACATGGCCCGGCTGCAGCTGCTGTGGGTGGACCTGGGGAAGCAGGAGTGACCTGTAATTGGCCCCTGCCCTCTGGGAAGGGCCACCCACATGCAAGGGGTGTAAGGGATGAGGGTGGAATTTGCCAGCTTTGAAGTTCCACGTTGGAACCATGTGTGACCCTGGGTAGGTGGGTCACCTTTTTAATGAAGATTTTCAAACTTCTTGGCATAGAGCTATATGTGGTATTCTTCTAATTAAAACAAAACAAAAATACTGTTTTATCATTGGTTTTATTTTTTTCTTTTATAATATAAATAACGTGTGACTGCACATTTTCTTAACTAATCCTTATAGAGTTTTGTTGTTGCCAGTTCTGCTGCCTTTCTGATTTGATTAATGCTGTTGTCTTAATTCCCTCCTGCTCTCTTTAGATTTGTTTATTACTGTCATTCTCTATTCATTGAACTCTTGCAGTGTGCTAGACACTGTTCTAGTTAAGGCTGGCAATACAGTGTTGAGTAAAACAGACTCTGTTGTCCTTGAGTTGAATGCACGGCTTATCTATTTGCATTCTGTTCTTACTTGATAAGTCTTTTAGCTATAAAGTTTCCTCAGAGTACAGCTTTGGACATAGTTATTCATTCAGCAACATTTATTGAGCACCTACTGGGGGGTCAAGTACTTTTCTAGGTGGGGATTTAGCAAGTGAACAAAACAAAAAAAAGTCCCTTCATGGAGCTTGCTTTCTAAAGAAAAAACAAGCGAAACAATGAAAGTCTATGGTATTTTAGATGGTAAATGCTGTGGAGAAAATTAAGGAGGGAAAGGGAAGTAGGGAAGAGACATGGATGTCGGGAAAGAGGATTGTACTTTTAGATGGTTTGGCCAGGGAAGGCGTCACTGAAATTTGAACACAGATCTGAAGGAAGCAAAGGATCCAAGCCAGGTGGATAACCAGGGGAAGAGCATTCCAGGCAGAGGGACCAGCAAGTGCAAAGGTCCTGAGGTGGGAGCAAGCCTGTGGGCATTGGTTTGTGATATTGTTATTACAGTTATTTAAAAATGTTTAGTAATGATTGTTTTGAGGGGGCATCCCTTTTAAACCCTGGTCAGCAATATAGCTGGGTATTGTGAGGAGGATTCTAGAAAGGGACCTGTAGGAGACAGGAGGAGAGCTCATCTGGGTAGGAGGCTGGAGGGATTCCAGGTGGGAGAGAGGTGCACACCATGGTGGACGGTTGGAACGAGCAGGTTCACCTTTATCAGAGACGCATGTTAGTGTCCTTATTGGTAGATGAGTCTCCCTCATGTCACCCGTGAAGCCCCTTTGCATCAGCTCTTGTTTTGCACACCTGGATTCATGCATGCCCCACATAAAGCGCCATGGAGTGCCTAGGAGAAGAGATTGCCATTTTGCACTTGAGGAACTCGGGGTCAGCTTCACACAGCTTGCTGGTAGCAGAGCCAAGACTTGCCCCCTGCAGCATGCCGGGTCTCTGCTCTGACCGAGGAGGAAGGGGACCCTTTTCCATAACCCTTGGCCTAGGGGTGAAGAACAGGACCCAACCTCACTGACTAGAGTTCTCTGCTTCCGGAAACCCAGAGGTGGGGCCCTGTGCTGGCCCTCAAGCCTCAGGACTGGCCTCCAAAGGGCAGAGTTGTGGGGTGTAGGGCTTGAAGTCGGGGCGGGGCGGACGTTTGCTGAGGGCTCCTGTTGTGTCATGTGCTTTGCCAAGTGTTATCTGTACATGATCTCATTTGACTCTTGAAACAACCCTGGGAGGTAATTATTATCACCGTGATTTTGACAACAGCCCCATGAGGAAGCAGTTACTGTATAAGGAAGGGAGGCACAGAGGTTTGAGGGATGCCCTGGGAAGGGGCCGCTTGAGTATGGCAAGGGGTCTCTGACTTTATCAATGCCGTCTTTGCCAAGATCCCTGGGGAGGGGATGGCAGAGCTGAGACCCCACCCGGTAGGTGGGATCATGTGGCCCTTGTGAGAGGTGGCACAGCTTTTCTCGGAAGGCCAAGGCTGCCCTCTTCTGGTTGGCTGGAGCTGGTGGCCACGCTGTACAGCACCATGCTTTGGCAGCCACTGACCCAGGGTCAGGCATGAGCTGGGGCTCGGTGTACAGATATGCATCAGACAGGCTTCAGGGTCAAGAGCATCAGCCACGCCTTACACGGGGCTCTGGTCCACCCACCCACCTTCCCAACGACCTTATGTCATCTCTCCTACCCCATCCCTTGCCCTCTCTGGCTGTCTCCCTCAGCATCCTCCCATCTTAAAATGCCTTCTCTGGACACCACATCGTCCCCCAGCCCAATCCCTCGCTCCCTCTTCGTGGCCAAACTGAGTTGTCTACACTTGCCTGTCTGCAGTCACTTGTCTCTTTCCCTTAGCACCCAGTCCTTAAGCCACTGCTTCCCGACCTCCACTCATCATTCCAAGGAATCTCCTCTTGCCAACGTCCCCAGCAATCTCCAGGATGCAGTGAGCACTTTATTCTAAACATTCATTTTGGATTATTCAAATAATATGTTGATTCATCTGCAAAAAAAAAGTAGAATGTCAGCTTTATGTCTCCAGAGATAATCAACATTCTGAGTTTGAGTTTGGTGGCCACATGGTATTTGAAAAATACTTACAAATATGACCCATAGGGAACATACAAAATATCTTGTGATTTTGTAACAAAATATAAGATGTTCATGTGGTAGGTATTGTGCCACATAGCTTTATTTTAATTTTTTAAAATAAATTTATTTATTTATTTATTGGCTGCGTTTGGTATTCATTGCTGTGCGTGGGCTTTCTCTCATTGTGGCGAGTGGGGCTACTCTTTGTTGTGGTGCAGGGGCTTCTCCTTGGGGTGGCTTCTCTTGTTGCTGAGCACGAGCTCTAGGAGCACAGGCTTCAGTAGTTGTTGTGCGTGGGCTTTAGAGCACACGCTCAGTAGTTGTGGTGCACTGCGTGGGCTTAGTTGCTCCATGGCATGTGGGATCTTCCCAGACCAGGGCTCAAACCCGTGTCCCTTGCATTGGCAGGTGGATTCTTAACCACTGCTCCACCAGGGAAGTCCCTTACAGTAGCTTTAAGCTCAGCAGATTTTGGAGATCTGTCCATGTTGATGCTTTTAGACCTTGTAGGGGACACTCCTTGGTCCTCCTAGCTTTTGATCTCACCATGAAAAAGTGTGTGTGTGTGTGTGTGTGTGTGTGTGTGTGGTGGGAACACTTAAAGTGAGATCTACCCTCACAAATTTTTAAGTGTTTAATAAGGAATTGTTAAGTATAGGCACCATGTTGTACAGCAGATCTCTAGAACTGATTCCTCGTGCAGAACTGACACTTTATACCCATTGAGTAGCAACTCCCCATTTGAAACATTTTTTTTTAGTATTTTTAAAAATTTATTTATTTATTTAATTTTATTTTTTTGCGGTATGTGGGCCTCTCACTGTTGTGGCCTCTCCCGTTGCGGAGCACAGGCTCCGGATGCGCAGGCTCAGCGGTCATGGCTCACGGGGCCAGCCGCTCCGCGGCATGTGGGATCCTCCCGGACCGGGGCACGAACCCGTGTCCCCTGCATCGGCAGGCGGACTCTCAACCACTGCGCCACCAGGGAAGCCCTAAATTTATTTTTTAAATTTATTTTTTATTGAAGTATAGTTGAATTATAATTTTGTGTTAATTTCTGCTGAACAGCAAAGTGACTCAGTTATACACATATATACATTCTTTTTCATATTCTTTTCCATTATGGTTTATCACAGGATACTGAATAGAGTTCCTGTGCTATACATCAGGACCTTGTTTATCCATTCTATATATACCAGTTTCCATCTGCTAATCCCAAACTCCCAATCCATCGCTCTCCTACCCACCCTCCCCCTTGGCAACCACCAGTCTATTCTCTATGTCCCTGATTCTATTTCTGTTTCATAGATAGGTTCATTTGTATCATATTTTAGATTCCACATGTAAGTGATTATCATATGGCGTTTGTCTTTCTCTTTCTGACTTACTTCACTTGGTATAATCTCTAGTTGCATCAATTGAAACACATTCTTTTTTTTTTTTTTTTGGTACGTGGGCCTCTCACTGTTGTGGCCTCTCCTGTGGGGGAGCACAGGCTCCAGACGCTCAGGCTCAGTGGCCGTGGCTCACGGGCCCAGCTGCTCCGTGGCATGTGGGATCTTCCCGGACCGGGGCACGAACCCGTGTCCCGTGCATGAGCAGGCGGACTCTCAACCACTGCACCACCAGGGAAGCCCTGAAACACATTCTTTTTAAAAACACAGGCCTAGCCTAGGATATTGTGGGTTGGGTTCCAGACCACTACAGTAAAGTGAAGATCACAATAAAGTGAGTCACACAATTTTTTTGGTTTCCCGGTGCATATAAAAGTTATGCTTACACTATACTGTAGTCTGTTAAGTGTGTAATAGCATTATGTCTAAAAAAATACTTGAGGTAAAATGTACATACCTTAAGTAAAAAATATTTTCTTGCTAAAAAATGCTGACCGTCATCTGAGCCATCAGCGAGTCGTAATCATTTTGCTGGTGGAGGGTCTTGCCTCCATGTTGATGGCTGCCAACTGCTCAGGGCGGTGGTTGCTGAAGTGTGGGGTGGCAGTTTCTTAAGAGAAGACTCTTCCTTTCACTTGAATACCTAGAGGTCATTGTAGGGTTATTAACTGGCCTAATTTCGATATGGTTGGGTTGTTCTATGTCAGGGAATAGGGAGGCCCAAAGAGCGGGAGGGAGATGGGGAATGGCTGAGGGGTGGAGCAGTCAGAACACACATTTATCCATTAAGTTCACTGTATGGGCATATGGGCGTGGTTCGTGGCACCCCAAAACAAAAACAATAGTAACATCAAAGATCATTGATCATAGATCACCATAACAAATACAGTAACACTGAAAACATCTGAAATATCACAAGAATTACTAAAATGTGACACAGAGACATGAAGTGAGCAAACACTGCTGGAAAAATGGTGCCAGTATACTTGCTTGATGCAGGGTTGCCACAAACCTTCAATTTGTAAACATCGCAATATCTGCAAAGCACAAGAGAGTGAGGCGAAATAAAATGAGGTATGCTTGTACTCAACAACACGTGCTTTTGGTTTTAAAGACTTTAGAAACATATCCAGTGAAAGTGGACGCTGCTGGGAGCCTGCTTCACCCTCCTGGGGTGCCTCTGACAGTGGAGAGGTCTCCTGCACAGATGTGAATTGCAAGACAGGGTTTGCTTTGACAGGAATGGCATAAGAACCTCTGCGTTGTTCTGCCTCTTCTGGGGACATTCTCTCCTCCCCTCGGTCCTGTGCCGGCTCTTCCTGCTCTCTAGCTGGGAGAGTTCCTCTGGATTCTGGCTCAGGCTCCCTTCTCTTATAAACTCTCTGTCTTCGTAGGGGATTTCGTCTCCTCCCATGGCTTCAAATACCCCTAATATGCCACCACCTCCCCTGTTTTGATCTCCAGCCCAGACCCTATGTATCCAGGTGCTGACTTGTTGCCACAGGATGCCTGGAACCCAGTGTGTTCAAATGCACTCATTCCCCTTGAGAGGGGCTCCTGGGTCTGCTGGGCGAGGAGTCCCCCCCAGACATCTAACCCCACATCCCCACGTGCAGTCCCTCACCAAGCTTGCCAGCCATGCCTACAGATGACACCACCCCCCTTTCTCTGCAGCCTGTCCTGTTTCCCAGGGAGGTTGTGACTGTCTCCCAGAATTCTCCTAGGCCCTTCCTTGGTCCATTTTCACACGGTAGCCAGAGTGACATGCATTTAGACCTTGCATTCAAAATGCCCATCTGATCATGTCCTTTTCCCTCTTGAGACCCCTCAAACTGTTGCCCACCACTGGCAGGGTGGGAATCACATCAGCCTTCTTGGTCTCCCTGTTGGCTCTGCCTGCATCCCTCCAAGCTCATCGTCCCCCACGGTGGTCACCCTGCCCAGGCCACCCCAGCGTTTTCTGTTCCTCCCTCAGGCTGAGTACATTCTTGCCTCAGAACCTCTGCACAGGCCACTTCTCCTACCAGAAACATTCTTTCCTTCCCTTTCAGCCTGGCCCAGGCCTCCTATGGGGCTCAGCTTAAATTTCTTTCTTTTTTTTAAATTGAAATATAGTTGATTTACATTACTGTGTTAGTTTCAGGTGTGCAGCACAGTGGTTCAGTTACATATGTATATATTAGATTCTTTTTTTCAATTCTTTTCTATTATAGTTTATTATAAGATACTGAATATAGTTCCCTGTGCTATACAGTAAATCCTTGTTGTTTACCTGTTTTATATGCAGAAGTATGCATCTGTCAATCCCATACTCCCAGTTTATTCCTCCCTCCCTTCCTTCCCCTTTGGAAGCCATAAGTTTGTTTTCTATTTCTGTGAGTCTGTTTTTGTTTTGTAAATAAACTCATTTGTATCATATTTTAGATTCTACATATAAGTGATATCATATGGTATTTGTCTTTCTCTGACTTATTTCACTTAGTATGATAATCTCTAGGTCCATCCACATTGCTGCAAATGAAAGAATTTCATTTTTTTATGGCTGAGTAATATTCCATTGTGTGTGTGTGTGTGTATATATATATATATATATATATATATATATATATATATATAT